AAATTAAAATATTAATATTTAATATATTATTAAAATAACAAACAAAAAACTAAATTAAAATATCTCTATGTAAAAGAATAAATCAGCTAATTTGACAATAATAACAACCTTTTATTAGCAATAATATGTTAATTTGGGTAAAAAAAATTTAATTTTTTAAAAATAAAATCTTAAATTTAAATTTTATAAATAAAAATTGATAAATCTTTTTGTTCCTTGTAAGGTTTGATGAGATTTGATTTTGAATTAATATAATTTAATGTAATTATGGAATATTAATAGTTTATTATCACAGAATAACCTTGTATTAAGTGGCATTAGTTTTAATTAGCGGGAGTCTCGGAAATTAAGGACCAGATTCTCCAGGGCACAGACAGATTAGTCGGTATCTCTGGACATTATAAATACAGATCCCTCCTTCTTCGCTCGTCATAAACGCAAACTACAATCAGCTAGGTCTCCCTCTGCAGAATTCCTCCTCCTTCTATTACCGTCCATTAATGGCGCTTCATCGAGCCCTAGCGAAGCGTCTGTTGAATGGTCGCACCATTACCTCCCTGGAGATGGTTCCAGATCACCACGCAACCATATCCCCTCCCTCGCTCCAAAACACACTCCCACCGAATGCGGCCAAAACCAGCTGTCACCGTGAGTATCTCACCTCGCCGGATTCCGCCGACAGAGGTTTCTTCCGGAGGTTCCTCCACCGGAGAGCCAGCAATCAACTCGGACTTGCGGAAGCTTTCTCACTCCCTGTCGGGGAGAAACTGAGAGAAAAACTCAGAGCTATTAACATTACCGGAGATCGACTCTGGTTGGAAGGGCTGATCTCTCCTCCGGCGGCAGATCCGGTGGCTGGAGATTGTTTGGGGAAAATTTCCACAGAAGATGCGAGGAAATTGTTAAGATTCTCTCTGACGGAGAAGCTGAAAGCGAAGCTGAGGGAGATACCGATGAGTTCGATTTCTTACCCTGATTTCGTTCGGATCTGTATCGAAGGATGTGGAAACGAGGAGCAGGGATTTGAATTTGCCAAAATGTTGGATGAGTCTGGAAACGTCATCGTTTTGGGCAGCATAGTTTTTCTCCGGCCGGAGCAGGTATAATAAACTATTTTTTAAAACTAATTTCAACAACGCTGACATAAATTAGTCCCAAAACATTTCAATGATTAAAAGTTTAAATATTTATATTAAAATTTTCAAGTTTAAAATTCCGAGATAAATGAAAAAAGATTTGGGAGAGAATGACATAGATCATTTTAAATAGACAATTCGTATCCTATATTTGGTGATTTATTTGAAAATTTAGTGATTAAATTAAAGAATCACGTTTTACAGGTGGCGAGATCCGTTGAGACCATAATTTCCCAAACAATAGCCTTCCCTAATGACCCAAGAAGAAGAGAGTTGGATGAACTGGAGCAGCAAAAGGCCATGATAGACAAGAAAGCCCAAGCCTTGGTCCGCCGAGAGCTATACTGTGGACTGGGCTTCTTGGTGTTCCAAACGTTAGGAGCCATGAGGCTCACGTTTTGGGAACTTACCTGGGATGTGATGGAACCAATATGCTTCTTCGTCACTTCCCTTCACTTCGCCCTTGGCTACACTTTCTTCCTCCGGACCTCCACTGAACCCTCCTTCGAAGGGTTCTTCCAACGCCGGTTTAAAGCCAAACAGGAAAAACTCATGAAGATCCATAATTTCGACGTGGAGAAATATAATAAGCTCCGTCAAGCCTTTTGGGTTACAAAAGGCTAAGGAGTGTGGAGGAAACCTCGAACTTCCTGTTCGATTTTGACTCTGGAAGACCAAGGTGTAGAAAGGAAAGAAAGTAGTCCGGCAGTTGTATCATCTCAAGTCCGCTAATTAAAAATGGACTGGCTCTCAGTTTTTAGGTCCAGGCCTCGGCTTTGGCGACCCTTGTCCATGATCTCGTAACGTAGTCCTTATAGAGGTGAGAGGTTATAGCGGTATCCTGGAAAATAAATGTAATTATTTTTTTACTATAATTAATTATTATATTTTTTAAATTTTTTTAAAAAATAATAATCAATTAAAATTAAAAAAATATGACAATAATATTATCTTGTTTTTCTCTTTCCCTGTTGCAACTTGCAAGAGAAAAGTTGTAAAGATTATTAGTATATCTTACTAATTTTTTTCTCAATAAAAATATGACTTGGATGTAAAAAATGCTACCTCCAATAACCATACGTTCAAACAACATATAAGCAAGAGTTTTTTTTTTTTTAAGTATGTAAAAACTAGATATTAAACCTACACAACACATGTGACATGACTGGTGGTACAGAACACATGAGCAAGGTACCTATTCGTCATCGAAACGCTTTTCAGGTTGGATTCATTAGAGGGAAGCAAATCGGCCCATTGGCGATGTTAATGGCCTTTCAATAAAGAATGTCTTAGGCCCAGAGACTAAAGAGTTGGGTAATACTCGTATAAGAGGATTGTGGCTTGTGGGTGGTATTTTTGTTCAGTGGGCCTGTATTCTAAAAGCCCATGAAGTCCAATCCCAATTAATTAAGGGTTTGTCTAGTGTAATAAATATATATTTTTTATTAATTATTATAAAAAAAATAAAAAGACAATTTTAATTTTATAAATTATCTAATTAAAAATATGATTTTTTTTTTTTTTGAACATGGGGAATTTAGGGGATGGAGAATTTTTTTTTTAAGTTGTTGGTGAGAATCAAACTCTCGATCAACTATATGTAAATACTTAAGGTTTTAATATGAATTTTTAATTAATATATTCTTTAACATTAATTTGTATTGAGAATAATAAAATCTTATATTAATTTGATCATTAATATCATTTGAACTATTTTAATTAGTCAATTGATTAAATAAATGTTAATTTTTATTCTTTTATATTTATTGAAGTCAAAAAAGTGTTATTAATATGTGTCATTAAAAACATTTATGTTATATTAGTGTTGAAAATAAAATTAACTTTTTTTTAATTATTCTAATAGGTATTTTAAGGGTTCATATTAAAACTGCATTTAATATATTTTGTTTTCATTAATTAGTATGGAAAATATTAAGATTAAATTTTACTTTTAACACTAATATCACATGAAATAATTTTATTAAATAATTGATAAAATTAAGGTCAATTTTTATATTTATGTAAATTAATAATGAAAATATATAATAAATACATCATTAACTCTGTTCTTATAGCAAAATTAAAATATTTTTTTATATAAATTAATTAAAAATATAATTAATACATCTTTTTAATATGTATCATAAAAACACAATAAATAAAAAAAAGTCTGCTATTAATTAATTTGATTACAACAGTGTTCCTTTTTTCCAGATGGCAGAGGCATCATTTTCATCGTGCTGCGTTTAACATAATTAATCTCCCATGCCCACGCAACTGTAGCTTTACCGCTGCTTCCTTTTTCACTGTAAAAACCTCCGAAATTTCTCTTTCACTAGAAGAAAAAGATGTTTGAACTTTGAACCCTACAAAATCATTAAAGTTTGTTGATCACTCCACTTCATGTACAGAACCACTGTCTCACAAAATTAAGATTTTTTGTGTTGTTAACCAATTGTGCAAAAAAATTACAATCAAATTCCTTCTGGGAATTTCTGACATTTTAGTGGGATTAATCAATTAAAATTTACCCTTTTGATTGCAACTTGTTGGATGATTTTGTTTTTCAACGATCAGTTTGGAACTTTGAAAATAAAAGCCAATAATGTTTCCCTAGAAGAAAATATTATATATATATACACATATGACAATTTTGTAGTAGAGTCTGTGCAATATGAATTGCACTTCATTTTTCTATATTTATATACTACTTCACATGCAATCCACAACTACCTAGATTCCAAAAGCAGTTGCAGTAAGTACAAATCAGCTACCAACTAGTTCGTCCAAATCTAGTAATCTTTGGGATTGATATTAGACCATTCACCAAATAAATTACCCAAATTCAATGATCCATTCTTCTTCAAAGTGGTCCCTTCGAATAATTTACATTGTCCCAGCCCTATCCTGCTCACGTAGATGAATTGCAAAGCCATTCCCCCCTCTTTAAATTCATCATCAAGGTAGTAATTTGTAATATTTAATTTAAATTTTAGGTACTATGTGCTATATCTTTTAATGTATAAAATATTACTTCATTGACTTTGGTGAGCCATTAATTGTTAAATTAAGCACACCGGCCTTGGAGAATATCCTCGATCAAGATAAAATGAAATGGTCAAATAGTTGGTGATGGTAGTAGATAAAGAGATTGTACATGGTCTTCACTTCACGTGATATTTTATGGAGATGACTTTTTTTCTTTTTTTCTTTTTTTTTTGGCTTATGGTGATGACTTTTAACCAGAAAGCTACTTTAAAATGCATTCAGCATGAAATGTGTGTGGTAACTGAGCCAACAAAACTAGATTATAGGAATTTTACTGTGGAACAGATTTTATTTTTGGCAAGATCTAGTGACTTAAACTTGTATGATTTACCAATAACCCAAATGATTTAGAAGAAATCTCTTCTCTAAGTAAATTAAGAAATTTTTTAAGTTTGACTTATAGACATGTAGATGAAATAAGTAAATGAATGAGAATGAATTGTTTTGTTATATATGCCAAAATAAAAATAAAAAATAAAACAAAAGCAATTTTCGCAACACCAAGGCTATTGGCCCAATTGATTAGTTGGATGCATTTTCAGCTTAATGTGCTAGCACTACATAAAAAAAAATTTTAAAAATTAAAAAATAAAAACTCTCAATTATGATTTTTTTTCCAGTGTAAATTATCGTAATAAACGGTATTATAAATATTATTTAAGTATAAACTGTTATAATAGAGGACATAGTAAAAGACTTTTTTTTTTTTCGGTAGTGTGGGTTCAAACATTTGTAATTTGTTATTTTGAAAAATGAACGTGTTTTATACTCCCAGTGCAAGATGAGGTCACATGAGATGCAAGCTAGTAAGCCTTTATCACAAAGTCAACAGCCTATAACTTCACCATAGGACCACTCAGCACTTAAAAGTATCATTCCTCCCAGAAATTTTCCAAGTAAAACTAATGCAAGAGCTTGACGAATTCAATGCAGTAGGGTGAGGGAACCCTTCCATTCCATGTGAGCTAGGCTGGACACGACAATGCCCAAGTCCTACTTGTTTTCTCCTAAGTCTCTTCGCCAAGGAAAAATAAAATCTG